TGGAAGAGGTGCCCAGCGAAGTCGGAGAGTGGACAACATGGAAGCTTGACCACTGGAACATTTGATTGGAACAGGTGACCAGCCCACGGGAAAGTTTGACCAACCGGCAGGTGACCAGCCAGCAGTGAGATCAAAGCAGAACTGGGCAAACGGAAGGAGGTTAACAGAGATTCTGTTTGGTGAAACGCGTATCGTTAAAATCCATTTTACATTTTAGGATATAGGTGTAAAATTGAATAAGCAAATACCCACTGTTTTGAGGAAACGTTTTTACTTGAGCAGAGCCTGGAAACAGGTTCTACAGTTTTCTCTCGAGAGGCTTAGCACCCATCGCGCTTAGGGTAATTTTTGACTTAAGTGGGGGGTTAAATAGGGGGGAGGTTAGAAGGGGGCTGGTTAAGATAGAGGTTGGCGGTTAACTATACAATCGATGTAGTCGATTTAGTTACACAAGTAGACCAAGAGTCTGGAACGATCCATCTTTAGACTCAGAACAAGAGTTGCAACGCAAGGATATCCAAATTTAAGATCGAATTAAGTAGATAACCTGGTCGGATCGGGCGGGGGATTGGAAATAGACAGTTTTTGGAACCCAAAAAGAGAATATCCTATAAGACCGTTAGTAGAGGAGAGGAAAACCGCGGGACAATCAGGTACCAGAAATTTTTTTTAAGAAAAGACCACATTGGTCGCCTTTGAATTTTGGGTGTACTCACAACTTTTTTAAATAATTTTTCATTTTTCTCAGTTAATTTTTTACGTTTTCGGATCAGATTCAATTGGCTTCTAACGAATTGGAAATCATAAGGAACTTGCTAACAAGCCGTATTTCGACTTGCGTCCGATTAATAAAAGGAAATTTTTTTCAGGGTGGTTAGCAGGTAAAATTTTGATCAACAGGATTGGGTTTTGAGGACTTTTTACTACTAGAGCTCTAGAGGTGGTACTGGAATAGTGGATCAGAAATTCCAATACTTGACGCAAGGTACAGGGTAATTCATCAATCAGACGAAAAAACACTTGAGCTACGAGGTTGGAAGAAGTGCAAAGTGCAAAGAATCTAGCCGGCGATCTTGGGATAGTGATCTAAGTGTCTCAACACTCAGTCTTTGGATAGTGATCTTAGTGTCCCAACACTCAGAAACAAGAGATCCGATTCCCCAACACTCAAACGAAGTCTCCTAGGAGGGCTCAGAAGAGGTCCTGGGACAGTACGAAGTGTCCGGCACTCGAGCCAAGTCTCCTAGGAGGGTTCAGAAGACGTCCTGGGACAGTACGAAGTGTCCCAACACTCGAGCAAAGTCTCCTAGGAGGGTTCGGAAAAGTCCTGGGACAGTACGATGTGTCCCAACACTTGAGCGAAAGGTCCTAGGAGGGTTCGGAAAAGTCCTGGGACAGTAACGAAGTGTCCCAAAACTTGAGCGAAGGGTCCTAGGAGGGTTCGAAAAAATCTCGGGACAGTACGAAGTGTCCCAACACTCGAGCGATGGGTCCTGGGAGAGTTCAGAAAAATCCTGTGACAGAAACGAATTATACCAACACTTGAGCGAAGGGTCCTAGGAGGGTTCAGAGAAGTCCTGGGACAATAACAAGTGTCCCAAAAAGAACACGAAGGGTCCTAGGAGGTTAGATAAAAGTACTAGGACCGCAGCAAGGTGTACCACGACCTCGTCGAAGTATGCCAACACTTGAGCGAAGGGTCCTAGGAGAGTACCGAGAAATCCTGGGAAAGTATTAACGCATCCCAAAACTAGAACGAAGGGTCCCAAGGACTGAAATTGATTTAGATTCAAAATTGACTTAGACTAATTCGACTGATTTCAGTTTTGAATACATTAAGAAATTTTTTTATAAATTCAATCGGATTTTACAACAGGGACTTGTAAAAATTAAAATTATAAATAAAGAAAAATATACATAAAAATCATGAAGCGGAATAGGGTATCGATAACTGAAAGAAGAGCAACAGGACTAAAACAAAATCAAACCTCGTCGCAACGGAAGGCAACAGTATTAAATCCGAAAGTAATGAGAAGAAAAATTTCAGTGAACATGGTCAATACAAGAAGTGTAAAGGAACATAAGGCCAAGGAGAAAGCAATGGAAGAACCAACTGTACCGGCTAGAGAAATTGATCTTGAGACACCAGATCAGAGTATTGACGGGGTGAAAAGGAAAACAACGGAATCAACACCAATGCCAAGTGCAGAATAACAAGAAAATAAAACAATAGAGTTCTCACCGATTGACAATGTAGAGGAAACAATAAGCAACACGCCGGAAACGATAAAAGAAGATTCTCAATTAACAAGAACGTCATTCACAGAGGAGATTGCAGCGATGGTCGGAATGAAACCAAAAATAAAGAGGAGGTAATACGAACGACCGATACAACTACAATTACAACAGAGCCAATTACAACAGAGGCCAAACAAGACGAAGAGCAGGTCACATATGGAGCAACGTCAAATCAAGAAAAAAAACTTCACTTGAGCTGAGCGACTTGATGGCAAAGTTGGAACATATCGACAAGACAATGAAACACATCGAGGAAGACCGCCAAGAGTTAAAAAGGGAAGTACGACAGAACAAGAATGAGCACCCAGACAACTACTTTGTCCTGGCAAGTGCGATGGAAGAGAAGTTACAACAGATGTCGGACAAGGTAGATGCTACCGACAAAGAGCGAGAGAAACATATCAAAAAGGATATGGAAGAAATGAAGAAACGGCATGACAACGTGAATGAGAAGTTGGGGAGTCTAGAGACGAGAATGGATACAATGGGCGGGCAAGGATCAAGCTGAAAGTTCTTGTGCCATTCAGTCCAAACCGGATGCTCTCTTGAGAAACTCAATAGCCCAAGATAAAGCAGTGGTGGAAAAGCCACCCGGAACTAGAGTTCATTTTGTGAAACCACTTAAAGAAACGGGAAGCTACACCGTTAGCATGGATTGATAATACCATGGCGTCAAGAGGGATAAGGACAACCATGAAGGTGGGTGCCTCAAACTCGATAAGGACGACAGATGAGTCAGTATCACATACGGGTGTACAACCGGATGCTAAGACGTGGGCAAATACCTGAAAAATGATTAACAGAACGTTTGAAGCAACAAGGAACACAGACTCAAGTGACAGAAACAGTGGCAAATCCCGGAAAACCTTCAAAAAACCCAAGGAATTCGAAGACAATTCAGATGGTTGCCTTGATACATAGGTTGAAGTAATGAGACTAAATCTAGAACAAGATAACTTGAACAACAAAAGGCAGGCCTGCACGGCAATACTAAGCAATTTAGAAGGCACCGCACAAAATGCGTGGTAATAAATAAAGAGGAGGAGCGTGATACAGCAGACAAGATCTTCGAGATACTGTTGAACCAATTCGGATCAAGGATGAAGGGTCATCAAACGATTATGAGATTTGAAAAAAGAAGACAAAGGAAAGACGAGTCAATCGATCGATTCCTAGATGATCTCGAGAGCTTGAGAAGAAGAAGCGACCCGGAAGAATCGACAAACAGAAAAAATTTCAGCATCGCTTCGAAGTTCATTGACGGGGTGAGAAGTGACGACTTGAGGACGATGCTGGCAACGTATTATACCCTATCGAAGGATAATGCACCGACCCTAGAAGAGGTGAGACAAAAGTCAAGAGAGTACATGTTAAGGAAACCAGAAAAGTACTCATACTCAGAAGGCAGGAAAAATGCAAGGGGAGAGCCAGCCACAAAGGTCGTCATGGTACAAGCCTAGAGACGACATGGAAAAACGTAGGTCTGGCGCAAATTGTGGATCAGTGGATCATCATGTGGCGGATTGCACGACATACAAGCAGGGGATGAAGAGTTTGGGATACGCACCGGAAGAAGAGGACATGAATCAAACGGAGGAACATGAGTTTTACAGTGACTTGATCATCAAGATAGGCGCGAGGTGTTTTTTCTGCAATCAAGAAGGCCATTTCAGAATGGAATGTCCCCCATTTTGGGAGGCGGTGAAGACTCAGAATCATCCGAAACACAAACTAGCACTGGCCGCAGTGCAAATCACTAGAAACAGACAAGCTGAAATTGATTTGAACAACAAAGAAGCAGCAAATTGTGAAATATCAACAAAGACAGAGAGATAGAGACCCTACTAGAGTATGACATGATAGAACCATCCAAATTACCGTGGGCGTGTGGAGTAGTGATGGCTAAAAAGAAAGGACGCCAACTTAGGTTTTGTTGTGACAATCGATATCTGAACTCCGTCACGGTGAAGGATGTCTACCCAAACCTAGGATTAATGAAAGTCTCCCAAAATTAGCTGACGCAAAATTTTTCACAACTCTTGATCTAGGGTCGGCCTTTTGGCAGGTACCACTGAGGTAGCAAGACAGAGTATGTCATCATCATGGTCAAATGATGGTTTTGAAGGAACACGTCAAAGCGAGATACAGACTATCGGATCTGATACGAGCCCAGAAGAATGACAAGATGACGAGCAACCTCTCCAAATGGATCCGGACCGGGGACAAGGAGAAAAGAGACCTAGAAGAGGATAGTTACAAGATCTTGAGCCAGTTCTACAAGGAGGGAAGGGACTTACTCTATCACACAGCTGATGGTGTGGTAGCCTGCAAGAGGAAAGATGAGGAAAAGATATTACACAAGCATAATTTCGTCATATTACCACAGCTATACCAGACGGAAGTGTTGTTCGGATCGCACGACCAGATTGGCATCAAAGGATAGACAAGGTACAACAAAGAATAGTACAGAGGTTTGATTGGCCAGGGTTGAGAAGGGCTAGCGAAAGGTGGGTGAACGCATGTTTGTTGTAATTGCAAGCGAAGGACCCTAGAAAATTGAAATTCTCACTTAAGTCCGTGGACAGCTCGGAATTTAGCGAGGTCGTGCAGATAGACCATCAGAAGATCTGCATGACGGACTCGGGATACAATCAGATACTGGTAACTATAGACCACTTCACTAAACTGGCAGAAGCGGTAACATGTCAGACGGCCTCAGTGATCATTTGATGACGCACTGGATATCACGATATGGTTGTCTGATGACATTCCAGTCGGACAATAGGAAAGCCTTCGTGGGGGACCTGACAAAGGAACTGATGAGGAGATCGCATATTTCTCAAACGCAATCAACAACCTACCATCCTCAAACGAACGGATTAGTGGAGAGGCAGAACAAGCTAAGGTTTTACAAACTACTACAGGGAGTTCATCAAGGACTATGCAGACAAAGTATATCCAAAGGTAAGCACAAAGGTAAGCAGCTCACGTGGAATAACGCAGCGGAGGAATCATTTCCAAGAATCAAAACGGAGTTGTGCGAAGCACCAGTGCTGGGGATGCCCACGGAAAAGGGAATGTACGTGCTGGACACGGATGCATCGGTGATGGCGATCTCTGGAATACTCCACCAAGAACAGGAATGGAACGGAAAGACAGTCGTGAGACTTATAGCTTACGGGAGCAAAATTTTGAGTGATACAGAGATGAAGTATGGAGCACCCAAAGCGGACATGTTCGCGGTAGTCACCTTTGTTGAAAAATATAGGGCATACCTGGGTAGCGAGCCATTCAAGCTGCGAGTCGACAACGGAGCATTCAGTTGGTTAACAACGTACTCAATGGACCAGAGCTACATCGGGAGATGGATAGTGCGCCTGGATTGTTACAACATGATTATTGAGCACAGAACAAGAGTTAAACATCAAAATTCCGACAACTTGAGCAAAAAGACGGAGTCTTACGAGAGACAGGAGCAGAGGGAGGCCGACAGGCCGGAAATCAAAGATGGCTTCTCATTTATGGACCAGGAGACGTATGACAGTCTCCCGCTAACGAGGTGGCTTGACAAAGAGGGAAACCAATAGAGGACCATCCCGAGCTACCAGGAGAACATGAGACGAAAGAAATTCTCGAGAGGAAAACGGGGATGCCAATGGAATTGATGCTCAGGTCGAAGATAGTGAGGGAAACACTAAAAGCAAAAAGCTATGATCTCGATGAAGTGGAGACAAGAAGGGTGACGATAGGAGAAGATCTGAAGAGACTACTCGAGAAACTAGCCGACAATAAACCGGTAGACCGGAACAATGATGAAGACAATCCGGAAATCATCATATTGAAAAGAGGGGAAGCGGCTCTAGGCGAGGACTCAACAATAAGGCAACCTGACGACAAAGAAGTCGTGCGGATATTGGTTGAGAAGATCCCAGAGGATATACTAAGACAGATTATGCTTCGGAAGAAGAAATAGACGTTCAATAAGGAAGCCGAACACCTAGGACCAGATCAAGAGTCCGGGGAGTGGTCAAAATTAGAAGGAGACAGTGAGTAAGAGAATTTGTCCGGGGAGTCGGAAGAATGGGAGGATGACTCGGAGGAGAGTGATGTTGATCCAGACAGTCTTTGCATGATATTAGCGGAAGAGAAAAGGAGGCACCAAGACAGGGAACTTCAAACAGACTCTTCCGTAGGAACTTACAACCTAGAGCAACAGGATGCGTACGGAGGAGAAGAGCTTCAGAAGATAGCGGTGTCAAAGAAACCATTCAGGGAGCTATCGTGAAAACTAGATATGAAATGTTTGAAAATGTGAAAGAAAATGAAGTTCTTGATTGCTCAAATCGCAGGGATAAAACTTGTATCATGAGACGCTTGAAGAAAATAAAATGTTCATCAGGTCTTGTGAAGTCACTTAAGTCAGAGACAGACGATGAACTGTCGAGCTGTTCGAATTTTCCAGAAAGACCCATTGGACATACGTGGAAAGAAGACACAACTGCGTGGGTTGTTGGACACGGGAGCCGTCTTAAGTGTAATACCAATTGAGACCTGGAGAAGAATTGGTTTCGACAAAGATGACCTGATTGACTCAAGAGTACGTCTGTCAGCGGCCAACAAGGGGGTCGTCGGGTTATAGGTAGGACACCAAAAATAGCCTTAAACCTAGGAAAACCCATTTTGTGGATGAACTTTCTGGTGATGGAGAATCTAAATGAATCTGACCAATTCATTTTAGGCAGAGATTTCATCACTAATTTTGATGTAACGATTGATCTAACGAATGATTGAAGAATGCGATGTTCAGGATTCGGTACCGGGAAAAGAAGTACGTAGTTAAACCGGTGAATTTGATCATGGCGAATGAAAAAAAGAATCCAGTTTTCTTGAGTAGGAGGGTAAGTATGAAAGTGAATGAGGCGGCAATAGTAAGTTTACGGATGAAGAATTATATTGAACTAAGTGACAATAAACAAAAATGTATAGTACCCAATCCAAACAGTCAAATTGCTGCTATTTTAGGAAGTTTCTTCTCGATAACCAAGAGTGGCCTCTGCGTCGGTGTCTTGTTGAATACGCTTGATATACCAATCACAACCCAGAGGGGGAGGAATCTAGGATACGCACTGCTCGTGAAAACTAGATATGATATGACTGAAAATGTGAAAGAAAATGAAGTTCTTGGTTGCCCAAATCACAGGGATAAAACTTGTATCATGAGACGCTTGAAGAAAATAAAACGTTCATCAGGTCTTGTGAAGTCACTTAAGTCAGAGACAGACGATGAACTGTCAAGCTGTTCGAATTTTCCAGAAAGACCCACACTAGAGGAATTCGAGATAGATAATTCAGTATTTTCAGAGGTTGAACATTTAAGGGGGGAGGTAACAGACAAACAGCTCGAAGCCATCAAGGACGTTCTAGATAGGAATCAGGATGTTTTTTCGAGACATAAGGCAGACATTGGATGCTGCAAATTTGTTGAACATGAAATAGAGTTAGAAGAATCGGCGGTGCCGCATAGGGAGGGGGCGAAGCGTATGATCCCAAACAAATCGGATGCTTGCAGAAAAGAGATAGAGACCCTACTAGAGTATGACATGATAGAACCATCCAAATTACCGTGGGCGTGTGGAGTAGTGATGGCTAAAAAGAAAGGACGCCAACTTAGGTTTTGTTGTGACAATCGATATCTGAATTCCGTCACAGTGAACAATGTCTACCCATACCTAGGATAGATGAAAGTCTCTCAAAATTAGCTGACGCAAAATTTTTAACTCTTGATCTAGGGTCGGCCTTTTGGCAGGTACCGCTGAGGAAGCAAGACAGAGTATGTCATCATCATGGTCAAATGATGGTTTTGATGGAACACGTCAAAGCGAGATACAGACTATCGGATCTGATACGAGCCCAGAAGAATGACAAGATGACGAGTAACCTCTCCAAATGGATCCGGACCGGGGACAAGGAGAAAAGAGACCTAGAAGAGGATAGTTACAAGATCTTGAGCCAGTTCTACAAGGAGGGAAAGGACTTACTTTATCACACAGCTGATGGTGTGGTAGCCTGCAAGAGGAAAGATGAGGAAAAGATATTACACAAGCATAATTTCGTCATAGTACCACAGCTATACCGGACGGAAGTGTTGTTCAGATCGCACGACCAGATGGGACATCAAAGGATAGACAAGGTACAACAAAGAATAGTACAGAGGTTTGATTGGCCAGGGTTGAGAAGGGCTAGCGAAAGGTGGGTGAACGCATGTTTGTTGTAATTGCAAGTGAAGGACCCTAGAAAATTGAAATTCCCACTTAAGTCCGTGGAAAGCTCGGAATTTAGCGAGGTCGTGCAGATAGACCATCAGAAGATCTGCATGACGGACTCGGGATACAATCAGATACTGGTAACTATAAACCACTTCACTAAACTGGCAGAAGCGGTACCATGTCAGACGGCCTCAGCGGAAGAGACTTGTGATCATTTGATGACGCACTTGATATCACAATATGGTTGTCTGATGACATTCCAGTCGGACAATAGGAAAGCCTTCGTGGGGGACCTGACAAAGGAACTGATGAGGAGATCGCATATTGCTCAAACGCATTCAACAACCTACCATCCTCAAACAAACGGATTAGTGGAGAGGCAGAACAGAACTCTGGTGAATATGCTCAGGGTATTTTGTTCGAAATACATGACAGATTGGGACAAATATCTGCCACAAATGGTAGGGGCGTATAAGAACACGCAGCACTCATCAACAGGGATCAGTCCTTTCATGATGCTGACTGGCAGGGAGAGAGCAAAAATACGAAGGGAAGAAGACGTCGCCGCAGGCGTACGTGAACGAAACGGTCAGGAGACAACAAGAATTGACCGAGCTCTGTAGAAGGAACACCGCGCAGGCACAGATGAGACAGCGGAAATAATACGATGAAAAGATACTTCAGGCGAAACCGTATGCTGTGGGACAATATGTCTGGGTGTTGCAGAATGTCATACCCCCCAAAAGGACTAAGAAGTTACTGAAGAAATGGAGAGGACCGTTTATGATAACGGAGGTACACCAGCAGGGCCGGTTCTTTCGCTTGAGTACAGGGCTTGCGGCGCACTACAAAATCTGAAACCTCACGTCCCATCTCCGGAAGACTGGTGTGTACCACAGAACATGGGAGGACTAGATTTTCTACTGGTAGAACCAGCATGTGAGATGAATGAAAAAGGCATCAGAGAGAGGAATGGCGGCAATGAGGATGTGAGCATGGATGATAACGAGAAGATAGAGGTGGATTCGAACGAAGGATCTTTTGCGGAGGAAGATTGGAAAGATCCAGAGCAGAACGAGATACCAAAGTGGACAGAACCAGACCAGCCGATGACCACAGGGACGAGGAAAGGCAATCGCACACGGACGGGCATGAGATACAACAGGTATGGTGACGACTTCTTGATTGATAAGATACAACCAGATGAGATAAGCGAGGAGTTGGTGAACGTGGGCGAGCTGGTAGCCGACGAAGAGTGGAAGATCATCGACGACAGCGAGCATTCCTTGCAAAAAGACTACTCAGTACCGGAACGAGAAGTAGACCTGGTAAAAAGCGAGATAGAAAGAAGGGAAAATACAAACCTGAGGTTACTGGAATGGATGCATAATCTTGAGACTGACGAAAGGGAGGCGCAAAACATCCAACAAGTAGACGTGTCAGCGTTGAAACATGTGAAGACAGGGAATCCACTATTTGGTTGGACAGCCACAGACCAGCCGCTAGAAATACCACCGTATAACTTGAACCCAGCTCCATCGACGGGGACGTCGATAAATGTTTTTGTCCGGGGAGTGGGGTAGGACTTACCCACACCGAAAATTTGATGATAAAGAAGATCAGGGAGGTAAGAAAGACTAACGGGTTGGAGTTGGATCAAGAGGAAGCTGAGCCTACCATAGGAAAAAATTTCATGACAAAATTCGAGATACCGAATGAACAATCAGAGAACATCCTGATCACAGACAGCGACTTCATTTTGTCAGATAGGACGAGTGCGATCTGCATAACAGCGGAAATGAGCTTCAACACGTGACTGGAAGCAGACTCTAGAAGAGAATATCAGAACGTGGAGTTCATTTTTAGGCAGAGGCCTGGGTTAGGAGGAATGGCTGCGCTTCCTCCTTCAGTTTCTCAAGCTCCAGGTGAATATCTGTGTTTTTGGTGACGAGGGTCAACGAGAGGAACACGGTCGACCCCGAGCACGTAATGTTGGCACTAACGAGGTTCAGGGACTTCCTGATCGAGAGAGGGATACGAGAGGTCTCAATGCCGGCTTACGATCCAAACAGGGGCTGGTTGAACCCTAGGGAATATTATGACATCCTACATGTGGTCTTTGAAGAAACGGAGATAATGGTGCACCTACACAGGGAGTATTACTTGAGTATCGCCTGAGCTTTGAATGGACTTGGAAGTTTTGAGTTGGGAGGCACAGGGTTCTTGAGCTAAGTAAAAGGGGGGCACGAGTCAGGTAGATAAATTTTAATGTAACTTGCAGGACAATTAAAATATGAAGAATTAATGGTGCTTAAACATAA